GGGCGGGGGAGGGGGGAGCTTGACGTTCATGCGAAAAGTCGGGGATGCTCGTCCGTCTCGCTTAGAGGTGGACCTTGTCATATGGGGGCCCCCCCCCCCCACCCTTTTGTAATTACTTTGTTTTACATATATAGGTTTTATAAACCCATAATGTCATTTCAAAAGGCCCTTTATTGGCTGTCCTCACCGTTCCATGCCGCACATACACTCTGTAAGTGTATATTTTATAAGAATATCGAGGCCGAAATTTGCGAAATGTTAAGAATATTTTAAGAATACACCCGAGGTTGAGATTTTGAAAAGAATGTAATTTTGTGTGTTGAAAATTTATCAGTACAATACAATTATCTGTTTTTAACTAAACCGTGTAAAATTAGCACTGTGCTAGCCGTGCGTTCGACGCTAATACCTTATGTGTGTCGTATCAGGCTTTACTGCCTTAAGTCTGGCTACAAAATTACTTCAACGACATCAAGGTCAGTGAAACGGAAATTTCATACGCTATAATCTAAGAATATTCATAAGAATTCGAATATTTTCAGCCTAAAATCGGCCGAAAAATAAGACTACACCATTTCTTTTTTATAAGAATATATTTTAAAGAAATCTTGAGGCTGAAATTTGCGAAATTTTAGGAATATTTTAAGAATAACCCGGAGGCTGATATTTTGAAGAGAATATAATTTTTTGCGTTGAAAATTTGTAAATGCAATACAAATATATGATTTTAACTTAACTGTACTACCTTAGTGTAAATGGCATAACTAGCCAAAAAAAAAGCACCAGCTGTATGTTCGATACTGACAATATTTCTGCAAGAGGTTATCTGTGTCATCTTCAGTCTGGCTCCAAAATTACTTCAACGCCATCAAAGTCATGATAGGACAGATAATCCGACGTTGTTTCCGACGTAGTCCACTTTGTACTTCTGTAATCTAAGAATATTCTCAAGAATATTCCCAAGAATATATACACAAGAATATATTCTCAAGAATATATTCTCAGCCCAAAATCGGCGGAAAAATAGGAATTTTGAGCCTGGGCTGGAAAAACAATATTCTTTTATATAAATAGAGTGTAATTCAAGCTGGAATTCTGTTTTCGGCTCAACTAAGTCCAAGGAGGATACTACAATATTAAATCAGGCTATCACAGACCTGTTGGCTGCTTAATATTGTCCCACTGACTTGAAGTACACCTCTTGACGGCAAGCTATCTCTTTTCACTCTTAGTATTAGTCATATTAGATATGCCCAGTTATAATGGGTGCACATAAGGTCCATATGGTACATTGCCGTGACGGATCAGTTTAAGTTGGACCCCTCTGAATCCACCAACGAGACTACAGATAGAACATATGGTCCGTATGGTACATTGCCGTAACGGATGGATTCAAATCGGGCCTCGCTGAACCCACCAACGAGACTAAATTAGATAAATCTAAACGGTCGGTGCGATGTTCGTTCTTTGTGATCGAAAGTGCCACATTAAGGACATGTAGGCCTGTTTGCCAGAGATCAGAAAGGCACGGGAAAACAAGCGGAATAAAACACTTTTTTTTTTTTACTGTAAACATGATTATGCAGGGTCGTGCGCAAAATTTACATCAGGTAAACATACAATGGTCAATGAGGCATTGTCAGGTTAATTCATTTAATAAGCAAAATGGACATGTGATTAGTGAAACGTATTGCCAGTTTGCAATTCCAACAGTTCCACTTCATTTGCTGCCACAAGGAGCGATGGAGGTTGAAATTGGGGCATAAGAAGACCCTCTGAGTTGAGCTCAGATTTCTACAATAAAGCTGGTTTGTGGTAAAACAGTTCAAGCCGAGATTGCCAAGCTCTAAGCTCTAAGTTCTTGACAGGGCGCTTGTCTTATCTGTAGTCAAAATATTCATATCTTTCTGTCACATCGGTTCAGTGTGGTCGTGGCTGATCACATGTCGCACGCGTGGCGCCCGGTTTAGCGAAAAATAACCTTTCACCGCGAGATTTATATTTGCTTTTTAAACAGCCTCTCGACCAATCATATCAATCCATATGATGTCGGCATTCAAGCCTTGATGACTTAATTGTGTCGAATTCAAATTAAATTTGCGACAAAAAAGAACATAATAACTGACCAAATTCGTATACCTCCACACAAAGTCAATTATTTTCATTAGCCGGTGACCCTTGGGTTATCTTATCAATTTTCTCAGCAAGGGCGTTAAAAAATAGTATCCATTGTCGGTAATGATATACGGAAATAGATTTTCACTTTAAATAAGCGTCCAAGGATAACACTCATCCTTTGTCAAAACTGACCTTTACATTCGAGTTTTGCACAATGGGTCCCGCTCCAAGCAGATGCCTTACTTTATTTGAGCCGATTAACACCTCCTTCGCTATATTAAATTCAATTAACCTGACCTGAGTCTTGCAGGATCAAAACCACCGATCACAACTGCACCATCAAATGTGTTTTCTAAATCAAGTGTTGAACACAGCATAAAGCGATTCCGGAGAAACAGGCCCAACGGAACACAAAGAGCACTCGCTTAAAACGTGCCGTAATAAATTACTGTCCTTATTGACACGAAGAGAATAGCGTGATAATAGCCGATAAATAGATAAGGGTTCAATGGGGTGTAAACAATTTGTTCGCATATTTATACCTCAATTCTTCCCTCTTGAGACCATTTGAACCTTGATCGCAAACTAGCGAGTTGCAGCGGAGAACAGAAATCTACGTGTGCAGTTCTTTGACATTATGAGCATGGCTTTTTCGTTCGAGAACCTCCTATCAGCTGGACAGATTTTGTTCCTTTGCTTTCTGGTGTGTGCGTTCCTGACTGGAAAAGCCATATGGCAGCATTCTTTTTGCAAGTTGCCTCCAGGACCCTGGGGCATCCCTGTAATAGGTGAGAATTTTTTTTTAACATTCCTTCGTTTAGAAATTTCACGTTTTCGCGAGGTAATTTTTCTTCCCTCATCCTATCCTCGGGCCGCAATGTTTTGGAGTTTTGCTTGTTTTAAACAGTTTCGTACTTATTTTGATGCTTAAAGTCAGTAAAAACTACTTATTTGCTAGCGAACTCATGTGCGTTAAATGCGCAAAGTTGGCAAAATCTCAGTTTTAGAGCAGAGTCAGCAAATTGAAGTTGTGCGCTTTCTCGAGTTTATCGGACTCTAATATAAAAGACCCCCTTTAGAAATAATATTGTGCCTGTCCGTGATTTCGCCGAGTACTGTACGTTATTACCTTGTGTTATTTCGTAAGGCTCTGTTTCAAGGGCTTTATTGAAATCACCTTTATCTAAACAAATCGGATTTGTTTGATTCTACAATTTTAAGGAAAATGCAGAGAATGTGAAATCAAGGGAACAACATTTTCCTTGCCCAAACGAACCAATAGCTGTTAATCCACGAGAATGGATTCTTTGTTCTCCAAACCAACGAAAAAACTGCACAATCATGAATAATTATGGCGCCGTACCCAGTTGCATGACAAGAGCGTACCAACAAGAAGAATATTGCGTGTTCTCGGCCGATAGGTGACGAAGCTCTGTTTATTTTGAGCGTTTCTTACATAAGAAAAAACCAAATAATGTCAGACTCTCCGCCAACTGAGAACCAACACAGAGCCCAACAGTGTTTTGTTTTTTCTTCTTCTTCGTCTTCCTGATCAAGAACCGCCAGTTTTTTAGTTGTTGTTTTTAAACAGCTCTTAGGCATAAGCCAATTATTCTTTATTGAACATTTTATGGAACCGGGAATCATTGAACGGAAGGTCTGATCAACAGAAACTGAGAAAAGAAACATATAAGTCTAATGGTTTACCAAACTTCAGATTATTCAAAAAAGGTGGGTCATCCAAAAATTTTCTTATCAAGATGTGAACGAAAACAACGAAAAGTACTTGAAGTCGTTACTGAATCTCTCGGCAAAGTTCCTTGTAGCAATTCGATATATTTTGGAGCCGTTTCTAGCAACCAGAAAATTTTTCATTGTCTCAATTTCTGCACTCAGTAAACAAAACTGGACTTTGACACCAAATCACTCATTGGGATTAGTTCCGGCAAAGGACATAATGTGTTTGAAACAAATTCCTTTAACGTTGATTTGTCGAGCTGATGATTTTTAAAACGTAGTTAAAAACGCTTTATGCCGCGCGACTGATTGGAACTTTGTTTAGCTCAAGGTTAGCAAAACTGTCGATTATTTGATTGGCTTCGACTACGTAGTGATTTGGCTTGAATCACGTAATGTGCGTGGGCTCGGCCAGCTTGTGGGCTAACGGCAGGTAAAGAATGAGGCACGTGCTCAAGCCACAGCCCCCTGAACAAAACCAGTTGACCTTCTTTGGCTAATGAGCTGCGCATCCCGATTGAAAAAGCCGACTATAGTCGATCAGAATACTCTTACAAAACTGTTTAGTATGCAGTGCCATGATCACAGCCTACTCTAGCTCGCTCGATTGCGTGCCAATCGCCCGGGTCAGTTGGCTTAAAATATTCCGGCTGTCAGTCTTGACAATAAAGGTACTGAGACACGTTCATACGCAAATGCTTGAGAAATGAAAGGATTTTATTTTTACAGAGGCAGTATTTATAATAATAGCTGTCAAGTATGCGCTACATGTCATGATTAAATCCAAGAACTTAATTAGTTAATCAGCATTGATGTAACATTGCAATAAGTTTACACAATTTATATTTTCAAACGGAATACGGGTGCAATAACCTTTGAGAACCAGCAATGCAACCAGATAAGGCTTTCCGGGGTAGACATTTTCCCGGCATTTAGAATCTGACTTTCATGCATGTATATATCAGCTCTTACTAGCGCGTTCAGTGCGATGGAATGTAATCAATAAAACTACGAACATATCCCGTGAAATGTTGAGGTAATAAAATCCCACTTCAGAAGATAATAGCTTTTTTTAGTGTGAGAAAAGATCACAGCAAGTTTTCCACGCTATGAAATGTCCTGTTCGGTGAATGTGTTCGAACTTAACTTAATAAAATTCTACGCAAAACTGGACATTTGATTTATTTCAAGTTCTATATTTATGGTCTGTGGAATCCGCGAAAAAGCATTCGTTTCGTGTTGCTTTTAGTATACACTTAGGGTAACAATTACTGTACTCAATTTGATAGTAACAACTAGAAACAATAAACTATTAGCATGGTAACAGAGATAATTTCATGCCGATTTAAAATGAAATTTGCCAATCGGCTCCAATTCGTATTCAGAACTGCACCATCAAATGTGTTTTCTAAATCAAGTGTTGAACACAGCATAAAGCGATTCCGGAGAAACAGGCCCAACGGAACACAAAGAGCACTCGCTTAAAACGTGCCGTAATAAATTACTGTCCTTATTGACACGAAGAGAATAGCGTGATAATAGCCGATAAATAGATAAGGGTTCAATGGGGTGTAAACAATTTGTTCGCATATTTATACCTCAATTCTTCCCTCTTGAGACCATTTGAACCTTGATCGCAAACTAGCGAGTTGCAGCGGAGAACAGAAATCTACGTGTGCAGTTCTTTGACATTATGAGCATGGCTTTTTCGTTCGAGAACCTCCTATCAGCTGGACAGATTTTGTTCCTTTGCTTTCTGGTGTGTGCGTTCCTGACTGGAAAAGCCATATGGCAGCATTCTTTTTGCAAGTTGCCTCCAGGACCCTGGGGCATCCCTGTAATAGGTGAGAATTTTTTTTTAACATTCCTTCGTTTAGAAATTTCACGTTTTCGCGAGGTAATTTTTCTTCCCTCATCCTATCCTCGGGCCGCAATGTTTTGGAGTTTTGCTTGTTTTAAACAGTTTCGTACTTATTTTGATGCTTAAAGTCAGTAAAAACTACTTATTTGCTAGCGAACTCATGTGCGTTAAATGCGCAAAGTTGGCAAAATCTCAGTTTTAGAGCAGAGTCAGCAAATTGAAGTTGTGCGCTTTCTCGAGTTTATCGGACTCTAATATAAAAGACCCCCTTTAGAAATAATATTGTGCCTGTCCGTGATTTCGCCGAGTACTGTACGTTATTACCTTGTGTTATTTCGTAAGGCTCTGTTTCAAGGGCTTTATTGAAATCACCTTTATCTAAACAAATCGGATTTGTTTGATTCTACAATTTTAAGGAAAATGCAGAGAATGTGAAATCAAGGGAACAACATTTTCCTTGCCCAAACGAACCAATAGCTGTTAATCCACGAGAATGGATTCTTTGTTCTCCAAACCAACGAAAAAACTGCACAATCATGAATAATTATGGCGCCGTACCCAGTTGCATGACAAGAGCGTACCAACAAGAAGAATATTGCGTGTTCTCGGCCGATAGGTGACGAAGCTCTGTTTATTTTGAGCGTTTCTTACATAAGAAAAAACCAAATAATGTCAGACTCTCCGCCAACTGAGAACCAACACAGAGCCCAACAGTGTTTTGTTTTTTCTTCTTCTTCGTCTTCCTGATCAAGAACCGCCAGTTTTTTAGTTGTTGTTTTTAAACAGCTCTTAGGCATAAGCCAATTATTCTTTATTGAACATTTTATGGAACCGGGAATCATTGAACGGAAGGTCTGATCAACAGAAACTGAGAAAAGAAACATATAAGTCTAATGGTTTACCAAACTTCAGATTATTCAAAAAAGGTGGGTCATCCAAAAATTTTCTTATCAAGATGTGAACGAAAACAACGAAAAGTACTTGAAGTCGTTACTGAATCTCTCGGCAAAGTTCCTTGTAGCAATTCGATATATTTTGGAGCCGTTTCTAGCAACCAGAAAATTTTTCATTGTCTCAATTTCTGCACTCAGTAAACAAAACTGGACTTTGACACCAAATCACTCATTGGGATTAGTTCCGGCAAAGGACATAATGTGTTTGAAACAAATTCCTTTAACGTTGATTTGTCGAGCTGATGATTTTTAAAACGTAGTTAAAAACGCTTTATGCCGCGCGACTGATTGGAACTTTGTTTAGCTCAAGGTTAGCAAAACTGTCGATTATTTGATTGGCTTCGACTACGTAGTGATTTGGCTTGAATCACGTAATATGCGTGGGCTCGGCCAGCTTGTGGGCTAACGGCAGGTAAAGAATGAGGCACGTGCTCAAGCCACAGCCCCCTGAACAAAACCAGTTGACCTTCTTTGGCTAATGAGCTGCGCATCCCGATTGAAAAAGCCGACTATAGTCGATCAGAATACTCTTACAAAACTGTTTAGTATGCAGTGCCATGATCACAGCCTACTCTAGCTCGCTCGATTGCGTGCCAATCGCCCGGGTCAGTTGGCTTAAAATATTCCGGCTGTCAGTCTTGACAATAAAGGTACTGAGACACGTTCATACGCAAATGCTTGAGAAATGAAAGGATTTTATTTTTTCAGAGGCAGTATTTATAATAATAGCTGTCAAGTATGCGCTACATGTCATGATTAAATCCAAGAACTTAATTAGTTAATCAGCATTGATGTAACATTGCAATAAGTTTACACAATTTATATTTTCAAACGGAATACGGGTGCAATAACCTTTGAGAACCAGCAATGCAACCAGATAAGGCTTTCCGGGGTAGACATTTTCCCGGCATTTAGAATCTGACTTTCATGCATGTATATATCAGCTCTTACTAGCGCGTTCAGTGCGATGGAATGTAATCAATAAAACTACGAACATATCCCGTGAAATGTTGAGGTAATAAAATCCCACTTCAGAAGATAATAGCTTTTTTTAGTGTGAGAAAAGATCACAGCAAGTTTTCCACGCTATGAAATGTCCTGTTCGGTGAATGTGTTCGAACTTAACTTAATAAAATTCTACGCAAAACTGGACATTTGATTTATTTCAAGTTCTATATTTATGGTCTGTGGAATCCGCGAAAAAGCATTCGTTTCGTGTTGCTTTTAGTATACACTTAGGGTAACAATTACTGTACTCAATTTGATAGTAACAACTAGAAACAATAAACTATTAGCATGGTAACAGAGATAATTTCATGCCGATTTAAAATGAAATTTGCCAATCGGCTCCAATTCGTATTCAGAACTGCACCATCAAATGTGTTTTCTNAAACGGAATACGGGTGCAATAACCTTTGAGAACCGGCAGTGCAACCAGATAAGGCTTTCCGGGGTAGACATTTTCCCGGCATTTAGAATCTGACTTTCATGCATGTATATATCAGCTCTTTAGTATGAGAAAAAATCACAGCAAGTTTTCCACGCTATGAAATGTCCTGTTCGGTGAATGTGTTCGAACTTTACTTAATAAAGTTCTACGCAAAACTGGACATTTGATCTATTTCAAGTTCTATCTTTATGGTTTATAGAATCCGCGAAAAAGCTTTCTTTTCGTGTTGCTGTTAGTATACACTTAGGGAAACAATTACTTTACTCAATTTGATAGTAACAACTAGAAACAATAAACTATTAGCATGGTAACAGAGATTATTTCATGCCGATTTAAAGTGAAATTTTTCAATCGGCTTCAATTCGCATGGAGCATTTTTCTGCACCGATTATCGAACGACCAACCGAGAATTTGGATTTGCCGCTCTAAAGTTTACGTTAGATTTTATGCTTAACCCTACAGGCCCGCAAAAATTGTTCATTCGACTCTGATGATAGCTCACTGACACTTCTGTCTCTGTCCTGCTAATCATTTTCTCGTGTAGTTTCACTCTAAACGGTTCGCTTATTCTCTCAACAGGAGCATCTTTCCGCCTGGGAGAGAACCCGCATCTTGATCTCACCAAGATGGCACAGAAGTACGGAGACGTGTTCAGCCTGATGCTTGGAAACCGCTTGGTGGTGGTACTCAACGGAGTCGATGCTATACAAGAGGCCATGGTAAAGCATTCCAAAGCCCTTGCTGGCAGACCACAGCTGCACACCTTTAAACTTGCCAATCCTGGGGGAAACAGTCTTACCCTCACTGATTACTCACCCCAATGGCGACTATCTCGCAAGATCAGCGTCGCTGCGATCCAGAACTTTGCCAAGAATACAGACGCCTTGGAAGAGAAACTGCTGCAGGAATCTCAACGAATGGTCCACTGCTTCAAGCTAAAGAAAGATAAACCCGTTGATGCTCTTATAACTCTGAAGTTGGCCACGGCTAACATCATACTTGGTGCGCTATTCAGCATCAATGGCTCCTACGACGACGAAGGCCTTCGTGGACTTCTCCAGCTGGCAGACGGCTACAGTGATGCTGTGAACGGTAGCAGCCATGTTGATTTCTTGCCGCTCCTGAAGTACCTGCCCAATAAAGCGCTCTCAAAGCTTGAATTTTTATTGAAGGCCTTTAACGATGTCACCACCAAGATGTTTTTGGAAAACAAGCAAACCTACACTGAAGGGCAGGTTCGCAACATCGCAGATAGCTTCATCAGCGTTGTCGAGAAAGAAACCATGAAAGAGACGGAGAATCGTCCTGCTGGAGAGGATACCCTTAATATGGCTCCTCTGCTAAGCGATGAACAGATTGTTGTAGCCATGATGGATCTCTTTGGCGCTGGCTTTGAAACAACTTCCGCCACCATATACTGGGGTCTAGCTTACCTCATGAAATATCCCGACATCCAACGCCAGCTGCACGAAGAGTTGGATCACGTGATCGATCGACAACGACTTCCGACCCTGGCAGACATAACTTCACTTCCTTTGCTACAAGCCACAGTCTACGAGCTACTGAGGGTTACAAGCCTCGCTCCTCTCTCCGTCCCTCGCTCCACGACCACCGAGACCAAAATTCGGGACTTCACAATCCCTAAAGACACCATGGTTTTCGTTAACTTGTGGTCGGTACATCGTGATCCAACAACTTGGAATGACCCGGATGTTTTCAACCCAAGGCGTTTCTTGAATGGAGCTGGTGAGGTGCTCGATCCCAAGTCCCTAGGAGGATTCCTACCATTTTCCATGGGCCGTCGAAAGTGTCCCGGTGAACCTCTGGCTTTGAAATCACTTTCTGTGTTCCTTGCAGCACTGCTCCACAGCTTTCGATTTTCGCAGGAAGGATTGCCAGCCGAGTATCAAGGCGTTGATCTACAGGGAAAATGCGGCCTTACTTTGGCGCCAAAACCTTTTTATGTTCGAATCGAGGAACGGCTATAAGAACACAAAAATGACTGATCAGAAATGATCCAAATAATATATCGATCGCATAGGTGGAACAATGTCGAGTCATCCCAATGGGATTAATTTCTTTTGGCAAAGAGCAGTGTAGAAAATGTTTAGTAAGTTGAGCTATTATGAGACTCGAACTTTACCGAGCTTTACAAATAAGAATTGTGACTTGATTATTAGACTCTGTATTTATCCTCAGTGCTATCGAATAATAAAAAGCAATTTGCGTATGAAATTGATTTTGTGCACTGTGTAATCAGTTCAAAATTTTTATAGCTAATAAAACACTTTATCACATATATATTTTTTTCACGCAATGAAGCAAATCTTACGATCGAAGTGTAGAATGCTCGACTTAAGTAGGCAGAGGATACTAGAAAACTGGAATTAATCTTTTAAGTGTAAATCAAACTGTAAACAAATTTGAATTGATTAAAAGTTACTTTGTCATAACAACTTGATTGTTGAATTGTTTTTTGTGTGTGTGAAATCTCTTTGCAAAGGCTGTCGTTCAAGGCGCGATTAAGGGTTGCTGACAGTCTGAGGAATTAAACTAATCTAGTTTCCTTGCTATAGCAATTAATGCTTTTTACCTATTAATTGATTGATCGCGATGAACAGTTGAAGGAAAACTTTCTGTGCTTTCAGCAAGATCGTAAAGCAGCGCTTTCCACTAATTTCTACTAATGTTAAGTTACGTTCATCAAATTAAAAGTGAACGGAACGAACAGAAATTCATACTGGTGTTAAATGAAAGCTTGAATTTCAACAGAGTGGAGACGTCATTAGTCTTTAAGGAAACTGTTGGGGCTGCGTTGGTGGGCAACTGAAACACTTAACTATAGTATTTCACGTATTTATCAAGCTGACGATAACCGTCGTAACGGGTTTGTGAAGCTGATATTTTGATAGTAATCCCTTGGTTAGCCAGGGCTGACGTTCGAATTGTGGGCATCACAACCCGGCGAGGGGACTCCCATATGGAGTGAACGGGGATGCTCGTCGGAAAGTTTGAATTTAACCCCTATCAGTACCTAAAAGAGACCAATCTGGGTGTGGCCGAAGCTTATGCAGACCCCTAAAAGAGACCACTTTATAAAACAGACAAATAAAAGGTAGAGTGACATTTAATGATGGCGAATTTGTTTATATGAATTGAGTAAATATAAAGAATCAAAATTCTTTCTGTTTTGTTATTTCTTCGCGTGCAGCCCTTAACGAGACTTTGACGGCTAAAAATAATAACATTTTGCCCAGAAAACCCTAAGCGAGACCAAAATCCGAAATTTACACCCCTAAGCTTCACAAACTCGCTACAACGGTTAAACTCCCTCTATCAACGTCAAGTTGATAAATTCCCTGGCAGAGATATTTTACTTCTTGTTTCTGCTACCGAAGCGCGAAAATAAATGCTGAAAAATACCGGCTTGCGTATGGGATTCCAACACCCATGTCGTACATCGATACCCGCGTTGCAGATGGGAAGTACAGAGAGCGAATATATACCCTAATACTGTATTCGAGTGTAACTATAGTACTGCGACAGAGAAATATGGTACATGAAAGATCATAGTGACTATGAACACATTTTGGACATTTTAAGCTGTTGGGAAAATTAAGCCGGCTGAAAAATTCAGACTTGACAATTTTGTGAGTTCGTAATATGCCAGACGTTAAGGTTTAAAGGCAAGCAGCATAAAGAAATATTTAAGAAACTAGGAGTAATAGCTAGTAGATGAGGGAGTGCGTTCGATACGTTGTGTGACTGCAGTATGAAGAGGAATGTTATTATTGCTTTGTGCTTCGATGTGCATGGGGTCTTGACTTTTACAGTGTAAATTATAACTCAAGATCTCCGGGATATGACCTAAATAATTCTTTGACTCGTAGAATCGGTAAATTTATGTTTATGTTGTGGCAAATCTGACCATTTGCCGTCGGCGAGCTGCATAACTCGGAGCGCGCAAGACTTGTCTTGTTCGAAAAAACCATGCTTTGTCTGTAGGTGTGAGCCAGGTTTTGTTTCATTCATGACGCAACAGTTGTTTGCGGTCAATCGTGACCGGGTTGATAACACAGGAGTCGTACAAAAATAAATGTTAGCTTCTGGACAAGTTGAGGAAACTTGATTTGAGAAAAGATAAATTCCTTAATTGCTAATGACATCCACACCAAAGACAATTCATGCACGCTACTTGCTTTGAAAATAAACGTACGCGTGACTTGCACGTGTGCTGGGGACGTCATTCGCCCACGAAAAAAAAATTCTTCGTGGGGGGATGTGGGTGGCAAAATGTGAACTGCTCGAGAAAATCTCGTTTTTTCTAATTTGGGTGAGACACAGGGAAACCAAGACGAAATATTATGCGTTCTCGTTCCTCTCGGACACAATTAAGAATATTGAAACAAAACATATTGGAACTGTGGTAGAAGTCGTAAAGAGATTGCTACACAAAAGATCCGTACTTATGCACGCAATGTAGAGTTGTCAAAATACATGTAAAGCTTTATAATGGCTTGATTTTGGTTCGTGCCTAAGGGCGTATTTTGGGGGGAGGATCCCGACTAGGATCCATAATCCAAAATCACACCGATGAATCCTTGCATGAGTTCCTTCATGCACCATGATGCGACATGTCCCGGGTTCGTTTCGTTGTTGTACGTCGAATAGTCATGGCAACAGCACTATGGGTGTCATTTTGTTTCTTTTGTGATGTACATTTGTGCCAAGTTTCAAGAACACTGCTTCAATATCTCCTGAGATATCGTTTATTTGGTATTTTACCAAGTTAGTGGCAAACCTTATGACGTCAGCACTGATCTAATTTGCAGAATAGGAAAACGTCAATATCTCTAAAACGAAAAAAGATATCCCAAAAAGAAAAACGCCATTCTTCTGTATTTTGAAAGGCCTTTCAAGTAAGCAGAAATTATTTTTCATGTCATATACACTTTAATGTTTTGCTACCTTAGAAAACTGTTGTTTCTGTTGTGACGATCCCTTGACTGTTACAGTAATATTTGTACACCAGAAGAACGATTCTAAGTCAGTTAAGTGTCGCAAAAGCTTTGATTTTAATCGTCGACAGAACAAGAAGGATACTAGTCCAAAAGAACGCCGGAGAAGGAATATTGTTTGTTTGATTTTCATTGCTGCGCCAATAGATCTGTCTGGGTCTATTTCCTTGGTTTTCAACCGAATAAGTATACCAATTATACTATGAAGGGTCTTAAGTGTTTTTGTCCCTCGAAGTCAAAGTTACATACATTATATTGATATATATTACCTTCTACAGACCATGCTACAGCAAAAAATTAATGCTTTCCTGCGCCCTGTACATAATACTTATCCTGTTTCTAAAGGAAAATTCCTTGAAATTGTATTTTGTTGTTTTTTGTTGTTGTTGTTGTTGTTGTTG